TTTTGTTCTTCTGTTTGGTTTCTGGAATCTTGACTATTATATGCCCAGGTATAAATCTCTTTGATCACAGCTAGTTGTTATCCTACATGCCTCACATATCTATTTCAAATTGTATTCTCTTGCTTGGGAAGTTTTCTTCCTTTACTTTTTTTAACAGTTTTTTTCATGGAATTTGGACTATCTCCTGTTTCTCCATTGACTCTATTCCATTTTATATTACTCTTCTTTGTATCATCTAGCAGCTGCTGGATTGATTTCTCATGGACCCTTGCTATGTTTAAGAAATCTTTCCTTTCCTGGTCACTAGATTCCATCCTGTGTACTATATCTGATATTCCGTGCTCACATTGGGTCATTCTGCTGCATAAATTTTCAGTGGAGTTTTTAATCTCCTGGATATCTGTTTGAATCTGTTTAATGGATTCCTTTTCTTTCCTATGCTAGGATTCCATCGTGTTCCTGAGCTCCTCTATTTTCTTTTTATTTGTATCTGCTCTGTGGAGGTTTTGTGGGGTTTTTGTACTGGGAATTGAACTCTGAACCTTGTGCTTGAGAGACAGGCACAGCACCACTGAGCTAAATCCCAGCCCTGTATAAAGTTATTAATCGTATTTTTCACTGTGGTCCTTGTCTCCTGTGCTATATGAGAAGTTATTTTTTATTTCATTTTTTTCTACATCCTCTTTCATTGCCAGTTGAGGGAGTCCGAGTGTTTGAGTTTCAAATTATACTGTCTCACCTCCTGGATTTGTACTTGGTGAACTAGACATCTGGGTTTGCATCTTGTTTACTTGTCTTGTTTCTATTTTTTTTGGTTATTGTTGAAATTTTTTATTTAATTTGCTGCTTGTATATTGCTTATTGCAAATATATTTATTGCTAGTATTTAAAGACCTTAGGAAATGATTACTTCTTGGGTTGTCTCCTTGGTATAGTTGGCCTGTGGGTTTTTGCATCTGTAATGGCCTTTAACTAATCTCAGTCATGGTATACCAGTAAAGAAAACTTACTAGAGCAATCACATATCCTTGGTCAAAATAATACAATCAACATCAACAATAGCATCAAACAGAGCTTAGAAAATGACAAATTTTAGTAGCTACTATTCTGCAACCTTCACCTGCGTAAACCATACTTGTGGTTATATATCAAAATCAAGAGCCAACCAGAAATATGTGTACAGTTAGTAAGCTTTTCTAACTAGCAGCTTTATCCTCTGGGAAGAAGACTTAGAAGGAGTTGGGGATTATAGAGAGATAGGTGGGAAGGTTAGAACCAAGGCTAGAGGACACAGAATGATCACATAAACTTTGTGAATCTGGTGAAGAAAGGAGGAAAAGAGAGAAGGAAGGAACTGAAACAAGAATAGAACTATATTACAGCAATAGGAAAACTAGAAAGTGTACTCATTTAATAATTCATGAAAATAAGAGAATATGACATAAATAGGAACAAGCAAGAATGGAAATGAAGAAGAAAAGAGAAAAGAAAAAGAAAGAAAGAAAGAAAGAAAGAAAGAAAGAAAGAAAGAAAGAAAGAAGAGAAAAAGAATGGTCCTCTTTGAGGTTGACTTTGCTATTGCAGTAGACAATGTGGGCAACAGTGTGCAGAGCTGAGTCAATTAATCTCAGCAAACTAGTTGTAGTCCAGTGAGATTCCTGCTGCTTTCTGGCTTTGAGGGCAGAATGGGGCTTCCTGACCTCCTGCAGGTTAGAACTCTACAAGGTTCTACTTCAGGTTTGAGCAGCCCTTCCCTCATAGCAGATCCAAATTCAGTATGAGGTGCTATTCACAGCAACTCACCTATTGCTGTAGTCCACTCTGTCTTTGCTTTCCCACAGGGCTTCAGTTTGCAACAAGAAAAATCCTCCCTCTTCTGATCAACACTGTGCCATCATCCTGAGCTCATAGCAATGGTTCTCTTGCCTCAGGTGCTTGTACTACATGGATCCAGATCCACAGCCTTCCTGGGTATGGGGAGGCTGCATTTCTTCAGGGGTCTGGGAATGAGAGGCCACAAATTATTGTTTTATAATCTCCTTCCACACATCCTCTCTTCTTGAATTCCCCTTTGTCTACTTTCATTATTGTTGATATTGATAATTTTCATCACTTTAATCATTTATTTTTTTGTGTGTTTTGAATCTACAAACGCCTCTCTTCAAAGTAATTATATAATAACAGATTAATTGTTGTAAACTGGTGTCAATCATTTTTCCTCTTCTCAAACTGTAGTTTTCTATTATCTATTGCATAAGACCTTATAAATATGATATCTAAAAGATTCAACCCAAAATTATTAGGACCGCTAGAGAAAGTCAGCAAAGCTCTAATACTGTCAGTATTTAGCAAACAATAGTATTTCTTTACAACATTAATGCAGTATCAATAAAGAAACCAAGAAAAGTTTCATTTCCAAAGTTGCACAAAATATCTAGAAATGAAGTTAACAAAAGAGGTGAAGGAACTCTACAGTGAAACACTAATGAGCTATATTCATAAGGATAAAAAAATAGGAAAAATCTTCTATGTTCATGGTTTGCAAATATTAATGTTGTAACATGTCCTTATGCACAAAGGCAAATAGGGATTCAATGTAATTAATACCCACCAAAATAAAGAAGACACTCATCAAAAAATATCAAAAGAAAACTTAAAGTGTATAGAGAAACTTGGTGGACTAGAAGTGGTTTGGGTCATGATCAGGTCTTGGATATTATTATCAAAGCAATGGGAGATTTCTGTGTAAGGATATTCACCCAGAATCTGGGTATCATATACTGCTAGTGAAGGTAACCAGGCAAAATACAGACAGGTTCATGATTAGTAAGATAAGATAATTAACTGAAACAAAATATCTCAGTGTTGAATGAGCTTCTGCTAAAATGGGGTGGGTAACATCCCCTCTTCTTTAGGAATAAAATGACACACCACTCCCTTTCAGTCAGTGGATCTGATTCATGTTGGGACACATATAGTGCAAACAGGAGGTCTGAGTTCACCCACCTAAACCGGGAGAAGAGTGATAATCCCCATCCTCTCCTCCCAAGATTTCAAAAGGAGCAGATAAACAACACAGCATAGGGATCACACACACTTCATGTTTTTGCCTCATTAAAATGAGTAGTTGGCAGACTCAAACAGAATTTGGGCAGAAAGCCATTTTCATTCACTCCTTTAGGCTAGGAATTGAAAAACCTCAATATTTTTCATAACTTCAAAATGAAACTCCCATCATGTGATAGAGAAGAAGCTTAATAGATTAGGGCTTATATAAATGTGACTGTGACAGTGGAAATTCAAAAGAGTAGGAGAGAAGCCTCACAACAGTTCCTGCATGATGTAACTCAGCCGGGAAAGTAATCCCAAGGTGGCAATTTCAGTGTAACAGCAGTCAAAGGCCTCAATGGGGGACTCTGCGGGAGTGAAGTGTCTGAAAATTGGAAGCTTCTGCAGGGAACAGTGAAAGACTGGAATAACCGAGGAGTCCTGCTGCATCAGTGATAAACAATCTTGAGCTATTTGAAGTACATGGTCCTAAGATGGAGGACAAATCACAGGCAGCAGCACTCACAGGATAGCAGGCTTGAATCTGGCAGAGCTCTGCCTGCATAGGGAGTGAGAAGCACTCTCTGCCAACCTTCTGAACGTTCCAATCCCTTCTCTCCCAGGTACAAAAGACTCTGAGTTGGTTGTGGGGAAATATTTCAAGGACTGTTTGGCTACCTCAATGTCCAGCCACAACCATAGGTCCATGTAGTTCAACCCTGTTCATGAACTACAAGTCTTCTCTACATTTGAACTAAGGCGGAGGAGCAATAGCTTGAATGTAAACATTAATGTAAATTTATTATTTCCTTCCTTTTTGTTCTCCTGGTTTTGGTTTTAGTAAGTGCTGGGTGATTATATGTGTCTAGTAAGTCATGTGAGTGTGAATTTTTTCTCTTAATTTTAAGGTGTCCTCACTACATAACATTAGAAACACCTATGCCAAGGGTTGTTTAATAGGGTGTGGTAAATCAGATTTTTGGTTAGGTCATAAATTTGACTCAACCAATCTGTATCTTCCACGGTTTTCCACTTAAATTCTCTCCCGCCTCCTCTGTCCTTAACTTCCTCTGTCACAGTCTCTCAAATCATTTTCCTACCTACTTTGTTTTCTGATATTCAGTATTATCAGCATAATGTGTTTTATTATTTGTTATTTATATACCCATTTCATAATCTCTTGGAATATATATGTTGGGAGTATTTGCATATGCAACTCTGAATAAAGTTACTTATTGTATTTCTTTTTGAAGAAAAGTCTTAGATTATCCTGTCAGGTTCAACCTCAACAAGATTTGTATCTATGGTGATTGAATATTAGATTCTACCCCTTTATTAATTTGATCCAATTTTCTTAATGTTTGTTTCACTTTTCAATTATATTTTCTTTCCTCTTCTTTCTTCTTCCCAACTCCACAAATAACTTCTCAAAACTTTGCCACTATTTTTCCATCCTGGGCATGAAAATGGAAACGTGCATGCTTGTTTCATTCTCTGACAACTTTTTACAGATTTATCTGTTTTTCTTAATACTATGATCTTTTTCTTTCCTCTTTTGTATCTTCCTGTATATCCCAATGTACTCTTCATTATTCTGTTTCATTCTTGGGTTAGTGAAAAATTGTGAAAGTTTTTAACAAATTTTAAATTATCTGTTGATAAATGGCTAGTTGTGTTGGTCCTGGTATGAAAGAAAGACATTGTCTCTTAATTCAGCAATAGGGACTGATCCTAGGACTTTGAACATCTTGAGTGGTGTCTGTACACCAAAATGCGCCCAAAGTCAAGCCGCATCATAGGGCGGAACACAGATAGTAAAGAAATCTTCACAATATCAGCAGAACTGTCTACCATGACCTACAACTCTCAACACAAAAGCATAAGAATCATGAGAAAACAAGGCAACAAAATATACCTAAAATGTAATAACTCTACAAAATGTGATCTCACAGGCAGTGAAATGAATGAATCTCCAGACAATTTGAAACCAGTATTTAAGGTGTTTGAGCAATTCAAAGAAGGGAAAAATAAGCAAATCAGTGAAACATTTACTCAGATGTTCATTAAAAGTAAACAGCTACATAATCCTTTCAATAATAAGATCAATTAGCCTGAAATGATATAAATCAACATCTGAATGAAGTAAGGTAGACGTATAAAATATGCACAAAAATTTTGGTGATATTTATGAATTGGAAACAATCAGAAATTCTGGACATAAAAAAATCAGTTGAAAATTTGGCAGTAGATATCTTTGGTCAGAAGATAGAACATTAACACTGGAAGACAAGTTTGATGTAGAAGGTCAGCAACTCAGTCATACTCAAAAACAACAAAAGGTGACCAAAAATGATCTTAGAAATCCTACATCACTCAGAGAAATCTACCCTAAAGATTATTTGAATTGGAGCTAAAGTTAAAATATATCTTGATATATTAATATATGTATACAGACTTTGGCAAAAAATTTTCCAAATCTAGGGAATGAGAGAGATAAGGTACAAGAAGCTTTCAGATCTCCAAATAGACATGTCTGGAAAACAACCTCTCCACAGCATATCATAGTCAAAATCCTAGAAGCAGAAATCAATGTCAGAACATTAAATGCTCTTAACAAAATAGCAAATTAATTATGAGAGCAACTCTATCACAATAGGAGATTTCTCAAAACAAATTTTACAACCCAGGAGAGTTTGGAGTGAACTCTTTCTTAACGGATATATGTTTGCAATACATGATTATTCTATTTATTTTGACAAATGATATATTCAGCTAATATAATTTTGTTGATTTCAACCTTCTTTCCTCTTTGTTCCATCCATTATCCCACTCTTGCACTGGTTTCCTTTTCCATACTCAAAGACTCTATCCCACCAGAGAAACTATTTGGTATTTACACATGTGTGTCCTATTTATTTCACTTAAGAGTATGGCCTCAATGTGCATCCATTTAGTTA